TCTCGTAAAGCATGACTGCAGCTCCTTACATTTGGATGGATTCAGCTGCAGGCGGTTCTCCTGAGACCAGGAGCTGATACAGTCGACAGCTTGCTGATTTCCATACACTACCCTGTGAGCGTTGTCCAACATGACCAACGGCCACAACACGCTTTTCATCTGGTGCGCGATGTAATGGAGTGAGATTTTGTGAAGCCTCACACATCACACAACACTGGACATGGGCAAACTATGATACCATACGACCGTGATCTGATAGATGCCACAGAACCATTCGGTTCTGCATTTGCAAATCGCTTTTAACTGTAAGCCTTTTTTGTTTTTGTCCTCCAACCTTTACATTGCCACAACAAGCCATGTGATGATGTCATTGTGCACGCACTCCGTGGCAAGTCAGTGAACCCGTCTGAAGTTTTCGCGATTTTTCTGGAAACAATTATGACCTTATGACCAGTCTAATGATAAAATTAGGGGCTGGAGAGTTTGTATCGTAAGAGCCCAGATCTTTTGGGGTGGTCAGTGACTTCTGTGTTATTGAAAGAAACCTGATGGACTTCCATTGTGCTTTAGCGTGAGTTTTCGCGATTTGTGACATTTTTATTGAGCTAATTACTCGCCTGTTGTCATATCTATGATTTTTACTTCAGTGTCTTCTCTAATCAAAGTTGGGTCAGGTTTTCCTGCTTCCCTTCAAGGATTTGGGCTTCTCGATGCAGCTGAAGGTGCGGTGTATTACGTGCACAATTTGCGGTTTCTTCCTTCTGCACCCTGTCCAATGGAAATCGGACGTTTCTCCTACACTGAAGTCAATTCCCCCACGGGTGTCTAGTTCATAGACGTAGTAGATTCAAATGTAATGCGTTTGCGTAGCTTCAACTTACCTCAGTGTTAGTTTATTTTGTCACAAAAGCATATCAAATTATCGTAGCATAGCGGACTTCTGATGCATAGTTCAGACGCTGACTCCCCTTTTCACGGTTTATTAGGCCATCCTGGCTTAGGGGTTAACAAGGCAAAAATTACAGTGAATCATGTACGTAGTTTGTGCTCACCTGGAACCGCTATAACGCCACTACGAAGAGGCGGATTTTCAACATTTGCTACTACTGTCAATAGTATTAATGGTATCATTCATTCAACAGAAAATAAAACATAAAGAAGGTATGACATCCGTAACAGAGATAAAAGAGGCTCTGCACGCAGGGTGGGGACGATATAAACAATAACTGACTTTTACAACTTTTGACTCTCGATGAAATTTTATGTTGCAATCATTCAAAAATTGTTCAGAAGTCAGGTTTAATGTGTCTGCGTTATTTCCCGTCTTCAGGGAAGGACCATTTACTTTTTGTGCTGGGAGGGGGGCATTGGGCAATTTATTAAGAAAAACAAATGCTTGAAGATGAAATTTAGCAGGAAAAAAAATTATGCAAAAGTAAGCATGCAAAATAAAGAGAGTTATGCTGGCAAATACTGATGCTGAGAAAATTAAATTCATACTAAGAAGAAGTTAGCCTACGTAACAGGCGCTTTATGAGCCAAATGAGGCATTTCGCGTGAAGTGCGAAACTAGTGCAAAGCACAAGACGAGGGGAAAAGAAGCAGCCCCACAACAGAGAAACAAATCCGCGCACGTAAAAAACTTCTAATAGCTTTTGTTACACAATACCAACAGGCCTTGCCTGGCCTGAAGAGAATACTAATGGGGAAATGACACCTTATAGAAAACAAGCAGGGGCTAAGAGAAATCTTTAAGGAGACTCCCATCATATCTTATCGCAAGGGAAAATCTCTTATCAGGGCTTCCTCCCCACAAAAATTGACTGGTCCGTCCCTTATATTAGATGGCTCTGAAGTTGTCTGAGACATCTTATAGTAGCATAAATACTGCCATTGATTGAGTTTGAACCTACTGTTAGCCGGTTCATCGGTCTGAAATTGTAAGGCGCAAAATAGCGCAGCTATTAAGGTCATCTGGAACCTAGATTTGAAAAAAGAAACGATTTATCCGTCGCGAAACAAGAAAAAAGTTCACCTCACACGTGTGCCTAGCCATAGCAAAATTATCTATCAATTTAACGATACCTAAAGTAAAATCATAGTTTTGTGTGAAACCGAACTCTGTTCATTTAGTGTCAGCGCTAGTTATTACTTACCATCTCTCAAAATCATCCATTCCTGGGTTTATCTGAAAGGTAAAATCGGAATTAAAAGTCATACGGCAATCATGTTGGGTGTTACATTAGAAATTCGATAGCACAAACTACCACAGTGAATTAAAAACGACATATTACCTGGTTAATTTCCCCCAGCGATTTTGAAGGTAGCTAATGAGCTCCTCCAGAAAGTCTCTCACTTGGGGATCGTTCACTTCCAGCTATTCAAAGAAAAAGTTGGAATCTTCGTTTAGCATAAGTTGTTCAAAAGACTACAGTGTAGATGGTAAAGAAATGTATCTTTGCTTGCAATCTGAAAATACCGTAAAAACTTGACTCTCAGCCATGTCCTTACGAGCAGCTTAGCTGAAGGTGTGATGTTTTTTCGAGAAGGCATTCTTTTATTACAGATGTTTGGCAGTGTTACAATGTCAGAGAGGCATTCCGTTAATATTCTAAACGCAACATACTGATAGGCCCGGTTGAAACGTCAAATTTCACGTGGCTGAACAAGTTATGCGAGAGTTAAAATCTTATAAAAATCTTACAAAAACTACACATAAAACTTCTGTAAAATATTCATAAAAAATAAAACGTCCACATCAATATTAAATAAATAAAAATATCCGGCAAAACCCCTTCACAATTCAGAATTCTAAGATACTAATTAAAAAGTAAATATATGTCCACGATAGAAAACTATTTACAATTGTGAATAATTTAAGAGTGGGAAAAGAAAAATCAAGCATTACTAAGAAAAAAACTATCAAAAATCTAGGCCTAAGAGTTAAATGGATGTGATTTTTTTTGTTGCTGTTTTAGCCGGGGGAAGGGGAACTCCCTTATTATAGCTACCTTATTACATGAAATTTTGGCAACATCAGTAAAATAGCAATTTAAAAAAATCTATATTTAGTGGCACTTTAATTAATTTTTTCGTTGAACTATTCGGGGATAACCAGAATAACGGTGATTACCTGTTCAGTTTACTTGTACAAGAAAATAGATCAGTACGGGAAGTGCTAATATAGGTAATTAAAAGCATGTGCCGAAAAAACTTATAACTGAACAACAACCCTAAAGCATCTGTGTTTTTATTTCTTCCCTGTAGGGTCGTAGCTGCTCAGGTTCCTGCCTCAGTAAAGTTTAATTTGGATTTTTTTAAAAAAAGTCATAAATTTGTATGAACCAAATAAAGCTCAAAAAACATTTTCAAAAGGCTCCCTGTGAATTTTGTGAACAAGTTTTATGTCTGAAACAACGTGAACAACCGATTTTGCGTCAAGTCAAGTAAACAAATGGAATAGAATTTTGTCATTTTGTCATTTTTTTTGGACTTGACAGCGATCAAATGTTTTTAGTCTCTGTTCCATGTTTTTCACGTGCTAGTGTCGTCTGATGTGACATCTTGACCCAACTGACTGCAACGAACAGTGATGGAGCACGTGCACAATGTAACGCAATACAGATCTAGTCACCAAACACTTGTAATTGATACCCTAAAACATCCTTAAACAGAAATGGCATAAGCTATAATTAAGAATATTA